CTGCTTAATCAAGAAAGGTAGTAATGTCCCAGAGCTGATGCACCATGTCATAAAGCAGGGTGGTATGTCTCATTTTGCCTGAAGTCCTATGTTTCCATCAAAACTTCTGCTTTGAGTAGGGAGTATGAGACCATATGCAGCCATACTATGGGGAAGACCATTGCAAAATTGGATTATGATAACGATAACGCTTACATTTAGTTAGCCAAGATCAGACCAAGCAGCAGTTCGGAGAAAAGACATTTTTGTAGCAACATCATGAGGAAAAAAAAATCGGCAAAAAAAGAGAGTCTCCTTCTAAGGAAAGACTAAACAGATGGGGCTCCTAGTGAGAAAGTTGTATCCCACAAAAAGCATCCGAAGCGTAAGAAGTATGAGACTATCCATGCCTAAACACAGATGTAGTTAGCCATATTAGTCTGAAGTCAAGTCGAAGGCAGGGTTGCTTGTGCTATATATACACGACACACATCCCACACAGAACTACCAATGTCACAAGAGTCTGGGATGCAGAGTGCTAGCCCAAAAACAAGAGAGATCTCTGTAAAATTGTGGTAGCTTACAGAATAAAAGGCAAAAATCAAAGGAATCTGAGAGATAGGAACTAAAAACAAACAGACCAGAAGGGGGTAAGGGATGTACAACAAAGAGTGAGGATGAGGCTGAATAAATAAATGCCCCAAATCCTGGTCACGGACTACACTGCGGTCAGGATTTTTCTCAGGAACTCTCTTTCTTAGTAGCATGTCCCCCTACATATTTAGTCAGCACACCATTTAAGGAAAATGGAAAAACATTGTCAAAGATGGAATATTAAAATAAATATTAGCCTTCTTGGCTTTCCTTGGTAATACATATTTCACTTCAGCTTAAAAATTAAATCAAGGGGCTCTCAGCTTGATTGTTCCAGCATCCTGTCCTGCAATCCATCTTCCAGGTGTGCTGCCTGAAACTTGCTGCCAAATGTAGAAAACTATAAAAATTCAAATGCGTTTAGCATGAAGAATCTCTTAATTTAGCCTCACTAGGTTATTTCACCTATAAGTATATTTGTTTATTCATTTGTTTTGTTTGCTTGCAAGTACTAAGCATTTATCTGATGCATTAATGATACTGCAGTTTTGAAATAGCCTAGAAACTAAATGCTACACAATGAGTGATGGTCAATTAAAATTTAGAACTCCTTGCTTTCCAACCCTCTGCTCATTCCTCTAATTTAAATATGCAGCTATGATTTTGTTACCTGTAAATTTTTCTTATTGCATTTATTTAAAGTTCTCAAAAGCCCCTAACATACTTTATTAGTATTATTGGACAATAACGTTTTCACCTGGATTTTATCCTGGATTTTATATATTGTTGCTTTTGGCAAAGCTAATATCATACGCAAAATAAAGTCTGTCTATGATTTATTTAGTCAATTACTATTTTTTTCAGAGGATTTTCAAGTAGACGGTCAATTTATTTAGAGACTCAAAAGATTTTGAATTGCCATTACACCACCTTTGAGAGATCAGGAAACTAAAACATACATCAATTTGCTTCAATAAATCATACAATATCCATTTCTGACCTGGCCTTTTTATATTCAACATTTGATTGGAAGTGTATAGAAATGTAAAAAAAGATAAAAGACAAAGAGTAAGAGAAACTATGCCTCTCCATACCCAAGAGAAAAACAATAAAGACGACAGAGCAGGACCTTCAAATCGTATAAATCATGGTAAATTATATTTGTTTTAAGTTATATGAAATCAGTGTTAATAAAAAGGTATCACCTAGAGTCTAGACAGACTGGGAAAATGAACTCTTCTAGTTCCCTATAAAACAGATGTAATATTAGCACAACAATATGAGATTCCTCAGTTTCAAACTGGAAAAGCTTTACATTTAATTTTCAAAAGTCAAACCAAATTATAGTTTAAAGGAAAGTATTTTGAGCAACAGTGGCAGGAGAATGAGATGCATCTGACAGGTTTGAACCTTCTCTAAGGTTCTGTTCTTCTAGACCACTTGGTCAAAAGCCTCAGTTGTGGCATGTGTGTGGCTTAATCTTACCAGTTAAAAGTAATTCTTCTTGACCCTGTGCTCATGTGGCTCCTCAGAAATCAAGGTCATCATCATTTTCCACTGGCTACCAAACAATCACAGAAACAAAGCACATTTTCTTCTCTGCTGACTTCAGCTGGATTAGAACCAGTGACAACTAAAAGAAAAAGTGCTTCTGTTCTGCAAGACATTTATCTACTGGATTAGGATAATTTGATTTAGAAAATTAAGTAAATCACAAGAGGGAGACAATAAAGTCATGGGAAATATATTCTTAACATTTGATATTAAGGAAAAGACCATTATAGTTGATAAATAAGAATAATGCCAGCTTCTAAGTAGATACAACATTTCATGAAAAATGCAAGTCGTTATAAATGTTAGTACTTACACAAAAGAAG